TAGTCTGGAGAAGAGAAGGCTGAGGGGAGACCTTATCAACGCCTACAAGTATCTCAAGGGAGGGTTGAAGGAGGAGGGAGCCAGACTTTTTTCAGTGGTTCCCACTGAGAGGACGAGGGGCAACGGGCACAAGTTGGAACATAAGAGGTTCCACTCAAATATGAGGAGAAACTTCTTCACGGTGAGGGTGGCAGAGCCCTGGAACAGGCTGCCCAGGGAGGGTGTGGAGTCCCCTTCTTTGGAGATTTTCAAAACCCGCCTGGATGCAGTCCTGAGTAACATGCTCTGACAAGCTCTGGGCAATCCTGCTTCAGCAGGGGAGTTGGACTAGATGATCTCTATGGTCCCTTCCAACTCTAGAAATTCAGTGAAATTCAGTGAAATTCAGTGAAAGCTACAGGGAGGCAGCATGGGAGGGACATCCAACTCTGGATTCCCCGCTGAAGGAGCTGCTGGCCCCTTTGCCACTCGCTTTTCATCAGCCCCAAACCTTCAGAGACAAAAAGATAGTGTGAAGCATCCTTTTAGGCCCCAAAAGGTAAAGCAAGATGAAAGAAAATGCTGAGCTTTGCGGCGTTTGGGAGCCGATGAAGCCATAAGCTGCTTCCAAGAGCAGTTTTAAGGGTGACAGATGGAGGCAGGGAAAAAAAAATATATAACTCTCCCTCATTCCCTGCTTTGGCCTCCAGTGGATTTGAAGTCACATTGGGAAGGTTTTAATGTTCACCCTGTTGTTGGCCACCTGCTCCTCAGCCCCACGCTCCCTGGGGAAGGAGCACCCATATTAACCCCCTGAAGAAAACCAGGGTGCTCTGCTGGGAAAGCACCCAGACCCAGCAGGGATCCCCCTCCCCGAGCGAGCTGCAGCCCAACACAGCCCCAGGGGGTGTAAAACCAGGGGTCCCAGCCCCATCTCTGGGGGGTGACCGGGGTATGAGCCCCACATTGTCCTCACCAGGGTCCCTTCCTTGAATATCAGGAAGCAGATTTAGAGGCACTGTAAAACCTGGAAGGGGTTTGCTCCAGGTGAGCAACCTCAGAAGAGCATCGTGGCTCCATCAACAGTCTCCAAAAGCTTTTTTGGAAGGTGCTGGTGAATTACAGTTTAACATAAAGCAACTATTTTCTTTACAAAAAGAGCATCGTGTCTCCATCAACAATCTCCAAAAGCTGCTTTTTTGGAAGGTGCTGGTGAACTAAACTTTAACATAAAGCAACTATTTTCTTTACAAAGCTGTACCAAGACACCTCACCCGGGCAGTCCTATTGCCAAACTGATTATTTACTGCTTGGGCTCAACTCAACAGCTTTTTGGGTGTCACTGCCCCTATCTGGTCTTCTCCTCCCACCTCCCAGGCCCCTTCCCAGAGCTCAGACCTCCCCCTTGAGATTTCTGATTTAGCATCTCATCTTCCCCTTCAAGGTATTCAGTTTTGAGGAAAACCAGCAAAACTCTGATTTATTTTTTCCCCCCCCCTAAAATGAGAAATAGTTCAAAGTTTAACCTTTCATTTCTTGAGAGGATTAACAACAAGTTTTAAACAGTTTTAAAAAAGAAATACATACAAAAGATCCAAAAAATCAAGTTAAAATTCCACATAAGGCAATTCCATTTTGGTATTTTTTTGACACAGACACGATGGTGCCCGGGCCCAGCTGGCAGGGAGCCAGCCCAGCCCCCCCAAGGGTGGGATTCCTGCTAAAGAGCCCACAGTTCCCAACCCGTGGGGCTGTTCCCAGGCCCGGGGAGCACTAATTTCACCAAGAAATTCCTGTGTGAGGAAGATGAGCTACAACCATCATCACGGCATGGCTGCGGCCTTACCCCCAAATCACTGGGCTTCTGTAAACTTCGTTAGTTGGGTCTTAAGTGACATGAAAATCAGCAGCAAAGCAGGTGTAGGACCGATGCTGTCGTGCCACCGAACCACGAAGGTGCAGGGCTCAGTTACGGGGTAGGACAGCGGCTGAGGATGGTCCTCTTCCTTCAGGAATTAATTCTATTTCCTGCCTTTTTCCAGCAGGAGGAATTTCTGCTGCTGGAGAAGGGGCCACAATCCCAGCCCCGGCAGCGGGGGCCGTGGCAGAACGGCCTCCCAGGAGCATCAGGGTGATTCCCCACAGCCGGGTGCTTCTCCAGACACTGTCACCCCCAACTGCTGGGGTCACCCCCAAAGGGCCCGATTCCGAATTACCCTCCGCTCCCAGTCCTCCCCACTTCAAACCTCCCCAGCTAAAGCAGCAGCTAAATTCAAATTAGTACGGAACGAAGCAACCTAGATGAAGTGAACGAGGTGAACATGATACCTACGTACAAGAAACACTTTCCCCACAGCTTTTCCTCGAGAGGCTTCCCACAGCCCAACGCTGGAGCTGGGAACCTCTGGCTGTAACGAGTTATTTCCTATTTTACTTCCCCCACGAGGCGTTTTTGCTTCCAAAACACAAGATCAAAGCTACAGCCCGAGAAAAAGAATTGACCCGCAACATCCCTTCCCCCCCCAACAGCAGCCTGCCCTTCAGCAGAAACAAGACTTAAGTACAACCCAGATGATTCCACCGCGGTGGCATGAGCTTCGTGTGACTGTATTTAAATAAAGTAAAGCATTTAAAAAAAAAAAAAATAACAACAGGCAGTAAAATACCCTCGCACTGCTTACACCACGTACCAGCCAAGCCCCATGGAAGCAGCAGCCTCTCCCCACCCTCCCCGGGCAGTTTGTGGGTGTCAAAGAGGAGAAGGAGCTTCCCCCCGCAGCAGTGGAAGGAGAGGATGGAGAAGAGGCAGCTCCCAGGTTGCTCGGTTCCAGTTCCACGCTGTTCCCAGTAAAAAAAACAACAGGCGGGGAGAACCGGTACCCGATAACCACAAGTGAGGAAGAGGCACGGCCTTCCTCCCAGCTGCAGCCTCCCCCCCACCACGGGTGGTTTCTGTGTGTTCCCTTCAGGCCTCAGAGCTTCTTCAGGCGACTGTAGAGCTCCCTTTTGCTCTTCTCACCAGCCCAGGTCCGGCTCTTGGTGCGGAACCTTTTCAAGTCTTCTTTAAAGTCCTCGTGGTGCATGGGGCGATAGCTCTGGGGCTCACAGAAGCTCTGGGGGAAGAGGAGGTGGTTTAACTTCTCTCTGGTAAATTCCAACCAATCCAGGCTGGGGGGAGAATGGCTGGAGAGCAGCCCTGAGAAGGACTTGGGGGTGGAAAGGCTGCCCATGGGCCGGCAACGTGAGCTGGCAGCCCAGAAAGCCCCCCACAGCCTGGGTTGTCACCCCAGCAGGGCGAGGGGGGGGAGGATTCTGCCCCTCTGCTCTGGGGAGACCCCCACCCAGTGCTGCCTCCAGCTCTGGGGCCACCAACAGCAGAAGGACGTGGAGCTGTTGGAGCGGGGCCAGAGGAGGCCCCGGAGATGCTGGGAGGGCTGGAGCCCCTCTGCTGGGAGGGGGGGCTGAGAGAGTTGGGGGGGTTCAGCCTGGAGAAGAGAAGGCTCCAGGGAGACCTTGGAGCCCCTTCCAGTCCCTCAAGGGGGGCTCCAGGAAAGCTGGGGAGGGACTCTGGATGAGGGAGGGGAGCCCGAGGAGGAGGGGGAAGGGTTTGACCCTGAAAGAGGGGAGATGGAGCTGAGCTGTGGGGAAGAACTTGTTTGGTGGGAGGGTGGTGAGAGCCTGGCCCAGGTTGGGCAGAGAAGCTGTGGCTGCCCCATCCCTGGAGGGGTTCAAGGGCAGGTTGGAGGGGGCTTGGAGCAACCTGGGCTGGTGGGAGGTGTCCCTGCCCAGGGCAGGGGGTGGCACTGATTGGTCTTTAAGGTCCCTTCCCACCCAAACCACTCAGAGATTCTATAAAGACAAGCAATATTCATATTACAGCTCCTTCAGAAGCAATAACTGTTAAACAAAGCCCTGTCGACAGAGCTCTCACCCCAGATTTCCTGCCAGGCATCACCACACACAGTCAGTCTGGGCAGTGTTCAGCTGGAAACAGCACAGATGTGCAGAAATCCTGGGCTCTGGGGACGGGGCAGCCCCTGGCTCTTTCTGGAGCACCAAGAGCTGCCATTGCCTGTTCCATGCTGCCACCGTGAGGCCCTTGCTCCTCCCACCTACTCTCTGCTCAGTCTCTCTCCCAGTCCTCACAGTCCTAAACTCCTTCTCCAAATGACATTTTCAACTCCTGTTTGTTATAACAGGGCAAAAACTACTTTTATATTTTACTTGAGACAGCGGGAAAGCTTTTCAGCTACAGCAGCAAGACGCTCCCCAGTTCAAGAAGGACAGGGAACTGCTGGAGAGGGGACAGCAAATGGCTACAAAGATCCTGAGAGGCCTAGAGCATCTCTCTGATGAGGAAAGGGTGAGGGACTTGGGTCTGTTTAGTCTGGAGAAGAGCAGACTGAGGGGGGATCTGATCAATGCCCCTAAATACTTCAAGGGTGGGTGTCAGGAGGATGGGGCCAGGCTTTTTCCAGTGGTGCCCAGGAACACAACAAGAGGGAACGGGCACAAACTGGAACAGAAGTTCCATCTCAACATGAGGAGGAACTTGTTTGGTGTGAGGGTGGCAGAGCCCTGGCAGAGGCTGCCCAGGGAGGTGGTGGAGTCTCCTTCTCTGAAGACATTCAAACCCGCCTGGAGACATTCCTGTGGGACCTGCTCTGGGTGGGGGTTGGAGGAGATGATCTCCAGAGGTCCCTTCCAACCCCATATCATTCTGGGATTCTGGGATTCTGTTACTTACACGGCATCTCAAGAAGAAGTCCCTGTAACCCCCCTTCAGGACGTAGAGCTCTGGGTAGTGGAGGTTGGGGTACTCGTTCCCCAGCCTGTCCCGCTCCCTCACGAACCGGCACCTGAACAGGAAGAGATCCTCCATTAAACCTCACATTCAACAAATAACACCTTAAGAGAGCCCTCACCCAAAGTTTCCCATTCCTTGGATTATGGAATTAAGGCATTTCCCATCAGGAAGAGGTGGACAAGCCACACTGGCCACCAAACTGTGGCAAACTGGTTTTTCCTTGCTATCTCTAAGCATCCCAACACATCAGCTCAACTTCAACACGGCCATTCATTGTGTCCCCTCCCCACCAGAGGTGACAACCCCCATCTCCTCCTGATAAACCAGTCATGACGCAGCAAACCAGCACATTAACTGGTGCCACCCCAAAGGCTGTTGCCCTCAACTGGCACGGCAGCAAGTTCTGATCCCCAGGGGGAGGGGGGAGTGTGGGGTGACTCACATTCGAGGCCCCCGCTCCGAAGAAAACTCGCAGTGGAAGACAATTATCACACGTTTGTTCTCTGATGGCTTGATTGGCTTCTTCAGCAAATAGTCCTCCACGTCCTCTTCCATGTGCAGGTTCACTGCACCCTGTGAAGGGCCCAAGCACAGGCAGTGAGTGGAGGAGAGCAGCAACAAACCCCTCTGACTGCCTCCCGAGCCCTTTCCTCATCTTAGTTTCCTACAGAAGCTCTAGGAACCCCCTCCAGTTGCTGGGAACGCGGCTTCAGACCCAACAGCACGTTGCAGATGGTCTAACACTGACTCTGGGTGACCCGGACCTGTCCCAGATGCCATTTCAACAGCTCTAAGTTAGGGGTCCCTGGATTTCCCTCCCCATCTCACTGTGTTGAGGGGGGCAACCAGCTTGTTCAAGCAGCAAACTTCAAAATCAGTTCTATTTTGCACAGTTCTTGGAAAACTGTGGTTTAAATGGAGTTTAATATTCTAATTTAACTTCCCTAGATGTCAGGATGCTGAACAGACAGTGTCTTGTGTCCTCCTCTGGAACCACCTCCCTGCTTGTCCCCCAGGCCACCTCCTCTGCTTAAGGAAAAGTTTCCTCCTTTGAAGGAGAAGTCACTTTATCACCCAAATGAGCTCAGTGTCCCAAAATTCCCCCAGTGCATTAGTGAGATGGGATCCCAGACAATAACAAACCCCCAGGGTCTGGGCTACACACCAGAAAAGAGCAGCTCCACGTGCTGCCTGGTGACCCCCAACTTCCAACAACTCCACACTCCCCTTACCTTGATGTGTCCCCCTTCGTACTCGTATGGGTATCTGCAATCAATTATCACACATTCCTTGATGAAGCTCGCAAACTTCCCGGTCAGCACAGACACAATCTAAGCCAGAAGATAATTTTTAGTTATTTTAGGGTGGGTTTGTGCTGTTTCCCCTCTTTCCTCCCCCCTCCAGTAGAGAATTTTCCCTACTGTCCCTGGAGCACGTACCATCTCGGAGTCGATGTATTTTAAATCTTGATGTTTCCCATCGACGGTGTGGAATAAATAACCCTGTGAGACAGACAGTGTTTAATTGAGAAAATTCCAAACACGAGCCGAGGGGGCGAGTGAATTCTGTAACAGACACTTTGTCAACAAGAACCTCTTCAGCAGAGGCCAAGAGTTAACACTCAGGATTCTAAAATTCAGGGACAGAGTTTTAATTGTGGTTCCTCTACTGAAGGGATTTTTTAGATCTTTCTGAGTAACCACAAATGAAGGGCTTTCTGTCCGACCCATAACAGTGCCCTGATCACCGACACCTTTCCTGCCCATCAATATGTACTTTAACAGTAGGAAGAGCTTTAATGGGGCTGGTTTGAGATGCCTCTACCAAGGGTGGCCATCAAATCCCTTCAATTACCTTTGAGAAGTCACCAATGAGGTCTCTCTGGTCACTGTCCAAAATGCTCTCAATCTCCGCGGTGGAGGATTGTGTCTTTACCATTTTCAGGCTCTGGAGGAGGCAGAGGTTAGAGATCAACGACAGCAGAGACCCTTTTCCCTTCATAAACCAGCCGCCTCTATTAGCTCCCTCTCCTAATCAATTCTCTGTTAGGAAATCAGATGCCAAACCACCAACCGTTGAGTCCTCAGTGGGTGTCCCAGGCAGGCTTTTCCTCTTCTTGCTTTTCCCCGGAGAATTCTCTTCCTGGGATCTCTCCATCCTTTTCTGAGGGGTTCTTCCTACACCCCTGGGCAGAGATGAAGAGTCAAACAACCGGCAGCGTTTGGCCTGTGAGGAAGGAGAGGAGTTATGAGTTGTCTAACAAAGATTTAGATGAGAAACTAAGCAAGACTCTGAATTCCAGATGTATTTACATGGCACCAGCCGGACATGAATATGGTCATCTAAATTCAGGACCCACGTTTCGAGTAACAGACGTTTCTTGCTGGGTGGACTGGGTGAGCCTGGACCACCATAAGCAAAAGGATGTGCTGGCAGAGGGCTTTATACCAATTAGCAGCCAATCTATCAGCAGATTAAGGAGCTTTTGGCTGGAGTTTAAACTCCCTTTGCAGCCTGTTATCTGAAGATTGGGCTAGAGGCACTCCAGGTAGGGCTGTGCAGAAGGTATTCCAGATATGCCAAGTATCTGATAAGGGAGGTTCAAGATCTTCTTGCATTTATGAAATGTTTTTTGTAAAAACAAAGCTGATGCCAATATAACAAGCATTTTTCCAGCCTGACAAAGTCTTCCAGGTAAAGAGGCTCCGGAGATAACAGAGCACTGAGGGGGTTTATGCCGTGTCTTGTTTTGCTGTTGTTATGAGGGATCCAGGACCGGGGACAGTGGGATTGCTTGTCCCAGGAGTGGAAGCGGCCGCCAGAACAAAGTCCCCATCTTTCTCCCAAAACACTCACCCGATTGTCCGTCCTCCTCATGACCAGCGGCGCAGTCCAGAGGCTGGCCACGTCAGATGGCATCTCCTCATCGTTCTGGGGAACAAAAAAATAAAGAATTAAAGAAAGAAATTTCATTCTCCTTTATTTCACCATGGGCAGAGACTGTAAAAATCACAGCTCGGGCAAACATTCCGGTTGGATTCAGCTGTCGGAGCCATTTGAGGAATTTAACTCAATGACAAGTCCCACACTCAATGAAATAACGGAACAGAGTCGAGCCGCGTTGGAGAAGGCGAGTTCTGTCAACTCACTGACTGATCAACAATGATGTTCCTCTGAAGCTTCAAGCATTTTAAGTTCAGTTAGAAACAGCGGCTCAAAAGCAGACATCACCCCTGGCTCTCACAGCAAGTTTAAAACAAATAAATAAATGCCAACTGTTCAAATAATTCTTTCTATAACACAATTCTCATCTGTCAACAGGAACAGTGGCAATTCTTGAACTGCTGCTCACACCCCAAGTAAATCCCACTGTCTGTGCTTGGAAACAGCCCACACAGACTCTGAAATGTATGAGTTGACAAAGATGACCATAACTCATCTCCAGGATTCCCTAATATTTAACTTTTTGCAGTTTGACTCACCACTGACTTCTGCTACAGCTAGAACACACGTGCATCATGGACAGACATAGTTGGCAGGCTATTAACGTTAGACCAAGCTGATTTTGAGATGCCCATTGTATTTCCTTTGTACGTACCTTCAAATCTTGCTCGTCCAACAGCTCTAGGAATCCATCATCATCCTCACTTTCAGAGGAAGCCAGAGCAGAGTGCTGTGGGAAAGCTGGCCTCTGGTTTTCCTGTTCGCCCGTGGGTAACTGAGACAAGAGAGTGAATTTTAACAGCGCTCCATCTCTTTGGTGGGTGCTGTAGTCACAGAGATGCTGCCTCTCCCTGCACTACAAAGATGCTGAGGGGCCTGGAGCATCTCTCTGCTGAGGAAAGGCTGAGGGACTTGGGGTTTTTAGTCGGGAGAAAACTGAGGGGGATCTGATCAACACCTCTAAATCCTTCAAGGGTGGGTGTCAGGAGGATGGGGCCAGTCTTTTTTCAGTGGTGCCCAGGGACAGGACAAGAGGGAACGGGCAGAAACTGGAACAGAAGAAGTTCCATCTCAACATGAGGAGGAACTTCTTTCCTGTGAAGGTGGCAGAGCCCTGGCAGAGGCTGCCCAGAGAGGTGGTGGAGTCTCCTTCTCTGGAGACATTCAAACCCGCCTGGACACGTTCCTGTGGGACCTGCTCTGGGTGGGGGTTGGAGGAGATGATCTCCAGAGGTCCCTTCCAACCCCATATCATTCTGGGATTCTGTGATTAGGTGAGAATTTGTCGTAGATGATGCTGTAGCACTTACTGGCTGAGCTGGAGATAAATTCTGCCTTGGTCCAGGAACACCTTTTCCATCCCGGGACTGGGCGTGCACAGAACGAGAGGCTGGTTTGGTTGGCTTCTTAAACTCAAATGATTCCTGAATTAAAGAGGAGCAAAGCAACTGTTTCACCAAGATTACAAGCTATGTAAGTTACTAGGATCATTTAATCCATTTCTTTTTTTGAAACTACCTGAGATTTTGGATTTAAGTTCTTTTGTCAGTCAACTTCTCCTCAAAATAAATCATTTTTATTTAAGGCAGCAGCTTGGCCAACAGAATTCCATCTGCTGCTCGGTGATTAGCAACTCCTCCCAACACCCAGTTGGAGTCCTTCCCATGGGATTTCCAGCAGTGAGACCTTTCAGACCCAGCAGGACTCTTGTGCTGCTGAGGAACCAGGGCTCCCCACACCAGCAGAGGGGAGAGATGAGGTGGTGTATCTCAAGAGCTTTCTGGAGACACCCCTCATAGCAATCTAAAGCCAGCAGCGTGAAAACAACGTAGCTGCAACAGCCTAAAGGAGCCAGGTTCAGTAGCATGAAGGTCAAGCTGCACAATCAAACTCTTTCAAATTTTTATTAACCTATAATCAGTTTGCAGTCACTATAATCACTGTGGCTGCACTTCCCTGTGAGTTCCCCCTAAGATAAGCCACATAAAACTTTATTATATCCAACCTACAGCCCCGCAGAGAGTAAAAGCCGCCTTTTCCTTCCCTTCCACTGCTGAAGGGAGGTGTTAATTCAGCAACAGAAAAGCCAACACTTACATTCTCCTTATTTTCATCTTGTTCCAATGGCTGAAAGGAGTTGCCGTCCAGAGAATCGGCATGGCTTCTCTTCAGAGCAGGGCTGCACCCCAGGAGGCTTTGCTACAAGGGTCACACAGACCTGACAGTTCAGTATCCAGCAATAAAGTCCTTCCACAACAACATTTTGGGCAAAACAGGGGTTAATAAAGAAGGTCTCCAATTTCAAAATTGGGGCAAACTACATGCAGGAGTCGCTGATGTCTCAGTACAATTACCAAAATGCTTCTTAAGGACAAAGACTCAACACTGAAATTTCACACCAACTCGAATGAGATTTCGGGTTCATGAGCTGTAATTTTGAGAGCTTTCATTAAGTACTGCAGCCACTGCTCTTGGGGACCGAAAATTAACAAGTTGTGGAACGTAGGCAACTAAAAACCACTAAATCATTTAATATTTATATAATATTAACACCAGCCTCACTTACCGGCAGCGAATGGATTCTTCTGAAAGGCACCCGAAAGCTACAATGGAAAAGAACCAAGATTTATTTCAACAGTATCACGAGTAGAACTCACTATTCCCTCCCAATAAAACTCCACAAGCTACGGCAGTCACCAACAAAGAAATTAAAATAGAATTGTACTTACTTCAGTCTGCTGGATTCGAGAATCGCTTTCTCAAACCTAAAAGCGAGTGAGATGCCCCATAGTTAGCACCGAAGGATAATAAATACAAAGTTGATTTTTAGTGTAATTCATGAAGAGTTACAATAAGCAAAAGCCAATGTGCTTCTTGATGACACTTGTCTGTCTTAAAAGCTACTTATAGGCAGCTTATCCCATCCTAGTTTTTGAAATACTGGCTAGACTTCTCCTCCTCTCCTTTCTTTAAATTCTTTTCAGCATTATTTAGACAAGAAAAGGTCGGTAAATCGGGACCAAGGGCATCTTGGGGATAGAAGATTAGGGAAAAAAAAAACCAAACACAAAATGCCAGGTGTCAGGCTCAGCACACAGCTATGTACCTTTCCTCCACGATATCATTTGAGGCTGTGGGACCGGGCGAATCCAAGGCACAACCTGCAGAGAAGAAACAGCGCTTTTCTACCCAGTAATACCCAGGAAACACCAAGTATTGGCCAATGGTATCGATTTCCTCAGCAAGACCCTGAGCTGAGACAGGAAACTACTGCAGAAAGTCCCATCTGCAGCCTCACCTCGGTGTAGAAGTAAATAACAATTGCAGATACTCCATACCCTTGGGTTTGGCCATAATCGTTAGTGTTTGGGGAAAAACAAGAGTAATTGAAAGAAGCACCCCTAGTCCTGCCTAGAACTTCATAAGGGACATGTTCTGCTCCCACAGGATGTGGAATACTCTCGGCTTATTCTCTCACACACACATCTCAACAAACAACTTAGTCCTTTCGGGTTTTTAAGCCAGGTTTTTAGTTACACCTCTTCCCAGGGAGAAATTCTGGGCTCATTAAAGAAAAACAGTAGTCAAAAGGCCTTTCTTACTGCGTGTTGGTGTCTGGAAATAAGAGCAAGGGCTCCATAAGTACAAACCAAGCAAAACATTCCAGAGACACAGCATTTAAATACAGTCAAATACCAAGTTTACTGAAACACAGATTCCCTGAGGAGGATTTTTTTTTTTGTATTATGGTGGCATTCCCAAGCCCCAGCGCCAGGCCAAGCACTCACTTGAACATTCTCTACAGCATCACAGAGCTGTTGCTGTTTCCGTGCCTGTGACCGAAACAAACACAACTACAAAGAATTTAATTTGACCAAGGTGACGGGCAGCGGTCTCGGCAGCACAGAAACCTGACTCAGGAGTGTTTCTGTAAGCACTGAAGGCCTGCTTCAGAGATGGGAAAAAAGGGAAAAAGCCAAGAAGAAAGCAAAGATTTCGCAAGCTTGGTTATTCTATCCCACTCTGTGGTGTCTGTGTTTGTGTTTTAGTGGTTCCTTTGAAGGCTGAAGTCCCACGCACGGTCAGACCAGTGCTTAAATTCAGGTGGAGACACTGATTTCCATCGCTGGGCTGGAAATATCAGAAACTTCCCTAACTCTACAAAGTTTTGGAGTAAGAGCTTATTTAATTTTCACTGATACAGCGTCAAAAAAAAAAAAAAAAAAAAAAGACACTTCTGGGCACATGTCAGTAACTAAGAAGCAGCTCCCCAGGTTTCAGATAAATAACCAGCTCATTTTAACAAAAAGCCACAAAAAAACTCCTTGAAGCCATAAGACAAACCCTACTCAAAGGCCTCGATTCGAGCATGTGGAGCAGGTTAGCACAGTTTGGGTTAAAGGAGAGAAAACCACCTGGTAACAACTGGCTTTCATCAGTCATCACCCTGCAAAGGGCAGAAACCCCCAGAGCTGAGGGCAGATAGGCAGCAGACTAACAATGAAGAATTAAACACTATCTCCCCATTTTCCAGCCCTGACACATAACTATAAACTCTCACAAGCCAATGTCTGCGAGACACCACAGAGCAGGAGATGGCAGGAGCCTGATTGACCAGAGAAGCCTATCTTTGGCTATCTTTAGCAGCCTTCATCTTCAGCCCTCTCTACTACCAAAAAGGCTGAGACGCTCACGATAAGGTGAGTGGAATATCAAGGCAACCAGAAAAGGGCAGCGATAACCATCATGCCAGGGTACAAAGCACGACAGGTCAGCGACCACGTCCATCCCAAGGGAAAAGGGAAAAGCCAGCTCCGTCAGGAGTCCCCCTGTGGGAGCAGAAACAGTTTTTCCTCCGTGCGAACTGCTAAGGTACTCCAGGACAATTAAAGCAAAAATAAAAAAAAAACCACCCACCCACCACCCAAACCACAAACTGCAGAGGTTTGCTGAGCGAGGGTTTGCCCGTCTCCCTCCTTTCGAGGGCGTAAGGATGAGAAGTGGCAGCAGGGATTGCAGGGAGGCAGCGATAGTTCCCCATCCAAACCCTGGAAGCTAAAGATATGATGCTTTTCATTTCTTGCTTATTTATTACTCAAGAAAGCCGTACCTGAGTCTGTTGATTCCGATGACACCGTTCTTTGTAAACTATTAGAGTTCTTGTTTTCCAGGTCTTGATCCGTGTTTTCGTGCTGACTGTAAAGGAAGTTTGAGTTTTGTTTTTTTTAAAACATTCATTGAGGTGAGAAATATATCATAAGGGCACCTGAACGTAGATTAACAGCACAGGTAATCACAACCTGAAACCTCTAGTACTGGCCAAGTGGAAGGATTCCAGCCTGGCCAACCCTGGGCACTGCTGAGCACACGGATAATCCCACCATCAGACTCCCACATTTACAAGTAACTGCAGAGCTAACACCTCCAGGGACTTTGGTTTTGTTTTTTTTAAACCTGCACACACAGTGCTGATATTAAAAGTCAGACTTCCAAAATGGAGACAGGGAGAGGGTAATTTAAGACAATAATTATCCCTGTTGTCTTTCTGGTCACCTCACACCAAATTATCAAGCTTTTCTCCGTGCCACACTAACTGTGAGGGCTTTTTTTTTTTTTAATGATGATTTGGAGCCTGTCCTGAGCTTGTGCCTTCACAAATGAAGGTCCCAATACAACAAAGTGACAGATTTTGCAATAAAACTTTAGGACTAAAACCGATTGAAGTGTGCAATAGGTTATCAGTGCCTGGAATCACACTGGCACTGCCCAAACCATTCTCCAGAAACACCTGTATCCCGGTCCTATTATCCCAACTCTCTCTTTGGCAGCCGCTCATTTATTGGTTTGCACAGAAAAATTACTGAACTTCTAACTCAAATTCACTTTTATAAGTACTCAGCTTTCAAATTTTGTCTTATCAACTAAGGGAAAGGGGCTCGAGGGTAATGCCAGCCCTTGATGTGTGTGTGCAAGTACAAACACCACTCTGTGAGCTCTACTGCAGGCTCTACTGAGCCACATCAGATATACACTCGTGTATATCTGCCCATACGTGGGCAGGGATCACAGCAGCTTCAAGACAGAGACAAATGTATATTATGTAGCCTTACTCTAAATTACCTTAAATAAGGTAAAAACTACTTGAGAGCGGCTTCACTCGCATGAGTTAATTAAAAAAAAAAAACCATCCGGGCACAAGGCAGGGCTACAAACTCAAAGGCCAGAATAATGAACATGAAGGGAACTGGTGCGAATCATTTACGGGAATTCCATGAATCTGAAGGAGGGAAGGATCATAAAGATATCAGGTGATTACAGGAATGAGAATGATATTTGCAAAGGGCAAATGCCAGGAGGGCCACGGCAAAACAGGAGCCGTACAAGAGACAAACTGTAGAGGTAAGAATCATGTGATTAAAAGAATCAGAGACAGGAAAATTGGATTGAGCAACTGCATGGCTGGAGTTATGGGGAGAGGGGGGGGGCAGAGCCCAAAAACTCAAGCACTGCCCAAATGTAAAAGAGTAAAGAGAGGAAGAGGAAGGGGGTGCAGAAAGGTTAAAGGAGTTGGGTCACAGGAGACAGGCAAAGTGTGGCATCAGGGAGCAAGAATGGAGGCAAGATGGTGCAGCTAAAGTGGGATGGAAGGATGGACACAAAGGTACCTGCATGAATTTGTGGGAGAGGGGAAAGCCCCCAGTCCTGGGGCCAGGCAGGGAGGGGTGAGGGAGGGAGATGGATGTCCCTGAGCAGAAACCAGGGGAAGATGGTGGCACAACGTGCTGGGACATCACAGGGGGGGGGGAAGGATGGCCTACAGTGCAGGAGCTACCACCACATGTGGGCATGGGACAGGGCGGTGGCCCAATCTCGGGGCTCCCTGGGGAGAAAGGGACAGGAGGGAAGGGGGATATTTGGTCGGAGGGGGGTTGGGGAGAGGAAGCAGAGCTCTGCAGGGGTGGAGGCACCAGGAAA